CTCTCTCTCTCAAAAATAAATAAACGTTAAAAAAAAAAAGAAAACTTCTGTATGAGATATGATAAAAATTAATAGCAATGTGCATGTGTATATATTCTTCTAATATTAATTTTTATAATTACAAAAAAGTTTTTAAACTCCAAAGTGTATTGTATAGAGAATTTTTTTTTTTTTTAAATGCTTATTTATTTTTGAGACAATGCAAGAAAACAGAGTGCAAGCAGTGGAGGGACAGGAAGAGGGAGACACAGAATCTGAAGCGGGCTCCAGGCTCTGAGCTGTCAGCCCAGAGCCCGACACAGGGTTCGAACTCAAGAACCATGAGATCATGACCTGAGCCGAAGTCAGACGCTTAACCGACTTGAGCCACTCAGGCGCCCTGATTTTACAGAGTATTAAGCTCACTTAACTCCTAAAATATAATGCCAGTATGAACTAAATATTCCATAGTTATTTCAAATACCAGAAAGTATAATCAGAACAAAAAGCAAGGTCATACTTTGTCTTTGGTCAGCATCTCCATCTGGGTACGTGTTGTTGTATGATGGTTTATCTGTTCCATCTCTTGGTCCAATTTACGCAGGGTCCTGTCTAGGTCTGCTTTCTCACTTTGAAGGCTTATTACTTCTGTTTTTAGAGCTTCTACATTGCTGTTTTTCTCAGCCTTGCTTAGCTCACGTTCCTTATCAAAAATTCAAACACACAAATTTATATATTCATGTTAAAACAATGACAAAATGATTGTTTGCTTTTATCCAACAAGAGAAAAAGCTTAAGAAATAAGATTTTTAAGGAAAATCTTATAAAGCTGCCTTACTATAATGGTAGAGAATTAGTAAATGAACCTGGAAGGCCAAAGAGGAAAAAAACTGAGAATTTACTGTAAAACTGAGAAAAATACATCTAAGTATATAGTTTAGTGATTCTTCTGACGGGTGATTCCCCATCACAAGGCAATATTGTGACAAACTGCTAAATTGACAGAAATGTATGCAAATAGCAATGTTTACTTAAATTATCAAAATGGAATCTGAGAGGGAGAATTGCCAAACTTTACAATGCCTACTTTGGTGGCAGAGATGTGAAGCAAGGGGACAGATTACAAATGAAGAAGAAAATTTGGAAATTCATAAAAAGGAAGAGATGAGCTAAGAAAATTTTTAGATATAAAAAGTGGTAATATGGCAATAATCATAGAAAATCTACAGTGTGTGGAACCTAGAGGGAAAATACTTTTAACTTAGGTAAGTGGTTCTTAACCAAAGTACTCATAAGAATCACCTGGCTTTGAGTGGACCTTCCATTCTCCACCCTAGAGATTTTGATTAGGAATGGTCTAAGCAGAAGTGTTTTTAAAAAGATTCCTAGGTGATTCTAATTTTCAATCCACCCAGTGCCAGAATCAAAGAGTTGGTGTAATTATAATACTCATATTTTTTAATTTTATATGAGATTCCTCAACAAAGTGGACATTTTTATTGAAATGCCAGTATCTTAGGATTAGCAGTAGATAAAATACTTCAGAATGCAAGATTCTAAATGTCCTACCTACACCTTAAAATTATTGGATTACTCAAATAATGTCTTACAGCTTTTGAGAGCTCCTGGTCCAGTTCAAGAATCCTGTCCGAAGATCCTTCCAACTGCTGTAATTCATACTTCACATTTCTCAGCTCATTCTGCTTCTTACTTAGGATTTCTGATTTTAGCTCAATTATTCTTCCCAGTCCAGTTTTCTTATCCCTTATCTCATCAATCTGTTTTTGTTTCATAGTCTCTTTTTCTGCAAAGTCATTCTAAATACACATGAGGAAAACGAGCATTAATAATTTTTTCACTGAACTTATTAATAAGTTTCTTGAACGCAAAATTAATAGATGCACACTAAAGAAAATTTAAAAAGTACAAAAAAATGTAATAACCATCATCTTGAGATAATCATTATTAGTTATGAGCAAACTTTTTTTATGATTACCTTTAAAAAGAACTTTTGGAAGATAAATACTGTATGACCTCACTTATGTTTTTGTCTAAAAACAAACTCAAGAAACAAAAACCAAACTCAGAAAAAGAGATCAGATTTGGGGCCACCAGAGGTAGACGGTGGGAAGAGGGAGAATTAGAGCAAGGTGGTCAAAAGGTACAGATTTCCAGTTATATGTAAATACTAGGGATGTAAGGTACACCATGATGACCACAGCTAACACTGCCATATGGTATAAAGGAAAATTGTTAAGGGAGGAGATCCTAGCAGTTCTCATCACAAAGAAAATTTTTTTTCCCTTTCTTTTCTTTTACCTATATAATAAAATGGTTATTAGCTGAGCCTACTGTGGTAACCATTTCACAATATATGTAAATCAGGCCATGTGCCTTAAACTTATACAATGATATATGTTCATTATTTCTCAAAATAATGAGGGGAGAAAAAGAAAAAAAATTTACTTAAAATAGGGGCATCTGGGTGGCTCAGTTGGTTAAGCATCTAACTTCGGTGCAGGTCATAATCTCATGGTTCCTGAGCTCAAACCCCACACTGGGCTCTGTGCTGGCATAGGGTCTGCTTAAGAATCTGTCTACCTCTCTCTCTGTCCCTCCCCTGCTCATAGTCACTCACAAAAGAAACTTTAAAAAATAAATAAAACTTAAAATATAAGTCTGTATCTTCTTCATATTTTTATCCTTATGAACTTCAGAAAAGTTGCTTCCATAAAGGTGTTTTCTATCTCCTACAGATTTTATTCTAACACTAATTAAAATATACGACAAAACAGGGGCACTTGGGTGGCTCAGTCGGTTAAGTGTCCAACTTTGGCTCAGGTCACGATCTTGCGGTTCATGAGTTCGAGCTCC